ATTAATTGATATTGATAGGTTTGAACGGCAATGTCAACTTTGTATGTTTATCGCCGTTCGATTTATTAACTTCTCGCTTATCAGTTTGAATGTGCTTGAAGATCAATAGCTTCCAACTTTTATGATAAATAATTTTAAACAAAAGTTCACAGCTAAAGCATAAGTCAATCTCCTGTTAAAGTCCAGCAATGATATTCATGGTGTAGTAGCCAAAGCTTCTATTTGAAAGACTAGAATCTTAAGAATACATATGTGAAAACGCAGATAACCAATGCAATGCATAGAGCCAAACTATCGCCGATGGATATGGTTGAGCGTGGTCTTGTCATGATGAGACTATTGTTCCATAAAGTATTAGCTGGTTCCAGGAACACGTTTTATTCAGTTTTTCAAGCTGAAACCAGCATTTTTGAAAATTATTGCGCGCAAAATTGTAAGTTTATGACTGTACGTTTACTAAGATTTGTATCATACCACGGAACCGGGAGGAATCAGGACTGTTATGGATTGAGTTTGCCACTTTTTGAGAGCCTTTTTTTACACAAATCTTAGCTTCAAATAGGCATTTGAAAGCTGGTGGGAGATCGGCTGTACAAGGTGTCCCAAAAAATCTGCCTACTGTTTGCTATAACTCTCCTGTTATGAAGTCTTTAGAAAACGCCCATTTAGATGGCTTCAACCTAGATTAAAGTATGGGGTGCTCTTTGAGAGATTTTTTGCGCCATTAAGGATCATATTTTGCCCTCAAAAAAGTATTGAAGGAGTTGAAACTCCTACAGTAGATTAATCAAGGTCACGATTTTAAATATGAGTTAGCACTTCATTATAAGGCTTTTCTCATAAGATATGCCAGAATTTAAGTAACAACAAATTTCTGATATTTGTCAAAACTTGATTACGCCGTTTGAAAAGCTTCGTAAAGGCGCAAAACTAGTTACACAATTCTTCAGAATTAAAAAATTTTTTCGAACGGCCTCTCCCACAGTGGGGTCATATGCTGCAAGATCCTACCGTAATCTTACAGTATTGAAGAGGGATCGGTAGATCGCTACATGCTGAAAATCTACAAGTTGAAGCCATCTACGAAATGGCTCCTAACCCATCTCAAAAGATTCCATCTCAAGTGAGTTGGCGACTATTGAACAGTAGGCACATTTTGAGACACCCTGTAGTATAACGATTGACTTCGTAAAGAGTTTGCCTTGAAATAATTTTTTCTGCTAAACGTACAAGCGTCGTGTGATCAAGACCCTCCTGAAAACATGATGACGATCTTTCAGTTGAGAGTACGCCCATGTAATGTTACATCAAGTACTGGTCTCGACCTATAAGAAAGATGAAATGCGAATGATTGCATTCGCAAATTCAGATTGTGATCAGGTGTTGGTCTGATCTCTGTGAAATTTATTCGAAAGTCGAGCGTATAAAATTTTCGGTTTTCGAGTTAGAAATTTCGATTTGCAAGGATTATTTGGATGTCGAGAAATGTCACATTCAAAGTTTGTGAAGAAAGGGTGAGCAATCATTCATCTGTAAACATCATGAGCAATCCTTCTCTTATTTGATCAAATTCAAAGCAAAACCAAGTTTAACGCTTTTTGCTGAGAATGTTTTTGTTTCCAAAATTAGGTCGCATTTTTTTTACTTAAGTCAGAGCACCTAAACTTGAATTGACATCACAAAAATCATTGAATTTTTTGCAGCTAGTTTATACATATTTTATACGTATAGCTAGTCTGAAACTTGTGGAACAGCCCCTCCTTTCGTAAACTACAGAATCACATTTTGTTCATTACCAGCTTGTTTTTTTCATTTCCCCATTAGCTGAAGGATGTAAAGCTTCATTTTTCGCGAAGATACGGCATCAGTCTCGCAATATTGGTACTATCTTCAATCTCACGGAAGTTTTTTTGCACCTTGGAAAGGTCGCAAGATTACGGCGAAAAAGCACTTTCATTGCAGCTTTCCCTTCTTTTTCTTATGGTTGTAATTATCAAACAAAGTTTCCAAAACTTCCAGGTAGCTAAAGTTTACTAATAGTTATCTTTTGTGCCATGTCAAAAAATTAGTTTTCTGAACTCCGTGTACCGTACATCCGCGCTAGGAAGGGGAGGGGATCTGGGGACGCGTCATATCTCGCTATCCTAAGAATCTTTATCTTTCTTTTTCTATCTATGTTATGAAGGTTCTCATTGAGTTCTCATTCTTTTTACTTGAGTACAATAATATTAGAAAGAACATTGCTATATAAGTTGAGATTTTCACTATGTCGTGTGACCCCCTGGGGATCCCCAAAGGATCAATTCACATTTTCAACTCGATAAAAACGCTGTAAATTTGTACCGAGTAAATACTATGATAGTGCTAAGAATGAGGTATAAACTAGCGAAATTTCAGGATATCGAAATTCCGATAAACCGCTGTTCGCGAGCTGAGGTTCATCGAATATTCCGATATCCTAAGATCTCGCTAATCACACGAAATGGTGAAAATATCAGTTTGTGTAGCAATGTTCTGTCTATCATTATACTTAAGTAACAGAGCATGAGCACCTTCATATTATAGATTGAAAAAGAAGGATAAAGACACTTAGGCCCGTATGCACTAACATTTTTGCGGCGAGGGGAGCGGCGTCCCCCGTTATGAAGGGACCGCGTGCGGACGCCGCTGCGGCTTTTTCATCATTGGGGACGCCGCTCCCCTCGCCGCAGGGATGTTAGTGCATGCGGCCCTTAGAGTAGCGAGATACGCCCCCTCTCACATCCCCTCCCCTTCCAGCGGGATCTACCATACGGGCCCAAGAAGATCAGGAGCGGTATTCATCAATCACCCACTCGCTGTCTGGGCCATTACTAGGAGTGCTCGGACAGGGAAGAGCGCCAATCCGTGATTTATCAAAATTCAAAATGTGGCCCTATCTGGCAAGTTTGGTCAAGTCGGGCACGGCAGCAGTCGGGCAACAGAGCCTGATCTCGACAGCTCGGGCTCCGCTACCCGACTAACGTGCCCGACATGGCCAAGGTTGCCAATCGGACCATATTCTCCAATAGACAGGAGCCCGATCACCAACTTGGCTTCATATAACGCAGACGCCATTGCCCGCGTCTGCACGGGCTGACCCGTACAAGAACCCCTTCCTATAGAGGAGGTTGATAAAAAGCGCTCCAGGCATCGCATAGCATTAAACTTGGGCTATGGACCCTCCTTCGACACTCCCTAGTTACTATCAAAGTTATTAAAGTTATTACCACCTGTATAAACGCTGAATGTCTCTTTATCTGTCTGAATGTATGTCTTCTGTGTGTACGTATGTTCCGATTAGAAATTATTACTTCTGAACCGATCCGATCCAAACTGGCACATGTACGCTTCGAGGCAGGGGTAGTAGGCTACTTTTCTCAGTGACCGATATCTTCCATCGATTCTCTGCAAAGTTTCCCTTTGAGGCTGGGAGTTGGCACGGGGGAGAGCGTAATGTTACATCAATATTACATTATATTATAATACCGTAATATTACATTACACTATTCCGAGCTCGGACCACTCCGGATCGAGCTTCGCCTAGGTGTTCCCAATCATTCTCAATCATGTCAGAACCCCGTAGATTTCCATCCGAAAGTGGCAAAACTAAACCTTTAGGAGGCTTACGACCCAGAAGTGGATTGCATCGTCAATGTATTAATACAACCCTTTCGATGAGGATGTTAACATTACCGAGTAGTTGGAAAGCAAGGTGCGAGGCGGAGGAAGGTAGTACCTACTCAGGCAACGGATAGGACCCCTCCGCCGGAGAAATGGCAGGGTCGCGGCGTTTCCTCAGCGGTGGGTCTCCCACTCGTCCGGCGGAGCCCTCCCATTTCTGCTCCGGAGACCTCCCATTTCTGCTCCGGATACCCCCCACTTTCTGCTCCGGATACCTCCCATTTTGTGCGCCGGAGCCCCCCGATTTTGTGCGCCGGAGCCCCCTGATTTTGTGCTCCGCAAGTCTGCCGCGGCATACTGTAATTAGCCCTAATTAAAGGCAGCTTCCAGGCAGATCTGGACCTATGGGGCTTTTACATGGAAAGTACTTTTGGGGCCCTAACTAAAGCACTGCCGAAGCAGCAGCTCATGTAGTGCTCTAATGGCGGAGATATCCCTCTCGAAACAGACCCCCGCGAACGTATTCGCATGGATTCATGACGCAAAGCGTGGATCCTGGCGCAAAACTGCCATGAATCCATCCGAATACGTTCGCGGGGGCCAGTTTCGAGGGGAATATCTCAGCCATTAGAGCACTACCTGAGCTGCCGGTTGGTAGTGGCTTAGTTAGGGCCCCAAAAGTACTTTCCATGTAAAATCCCCATAGGTCCAGACTTGCCTGGACGCTGCCTTAAAGCTCCAAACCCCAATTTCGTCTCTAAACCCCACCCAAATTAGCCGAATAGGACCCCCCCCCGGGTAGGAGTTCAGCGCGACCCTCACCCCGTACTCTACCCCCTCCCTCTCACCCCTAGCGTTTGTGGATAGAAGATAGAAGAAAGAACGGAGATAAGACATTTATTTCAAATTTTTCAAACTTCTTCGAAATATCATCTTATATCGTTAATCATTTCACACCCACTGGTGTAAAAGAATGAACCTTAGAATAGATAGGCTTGATTTTGAATTGAAGACCAATCAATGAAAATATTAGACATTTTGGATCCTGGATAAGGTAGTAGAATGAACGCAAGCCATCAGGACCCTGAATGATAATTCATTAGACTGGTGAATTCCCGATAAAGAAAATTGAGGTAGCACTGTTTTCAAAAGTAAGCGTTGCATCAGACTTTGAAAATGCTCACAAAGTCTTCTCCGTATTATCGAAAGATTTAGGATAAAACATGTCATCAGCACTAGAGTGAAAATAAAAAGTGGTCTCACATTGCTATTGTTTACATCGCGATTGATCCAATCTTCCCCGTAGTGAGCGAAATAACTCATTGCTCATCGAAATCTCAAGCTTTTGCCGAACCACTTTATCCGGGCTCCGGCCTCTTTGCGTCATCGTCCTGAAAATATTCCTTCACAAACATAAAAACGAACCAAATTTGATCAAAACACCGACCTGCATGATTTCCGAGTCTTCAACAATCCTTTTCAGCTCCTGAAGAACGACAAGCGAAATGAACGCCTGAAACATGTTTATACGAACAAAAATAGTGATCGAGAAAGACTTCCTACCTCCCTTCGATGAGGGCGTCGTTTTTGTAGTTGAATTGTTGGCATATCGCAGTTGTCCATTCCGCAAGTCGAAACTCCAGAAATCCAAGGCCAAACTTGCCCTGCAAGCACTTAAAGAAGAAACAAACGAAAATAAAACATACACACATAAGCACACACATACACATAAACACTTACACTCACGCACACACAACACACACAAACGCATGCAACACATACACACACTCACACAAACATGCAACACATACACATACAGACACACACTCACACAAACGCATGCAACACATACACACAAACATACATATATAAATACATAAACACACATGCACACATATAAACATACATACATATAAAAACACACATACAAATGTAAACATTTACACACATAAGCACACATATACAAGTAAAAATGTGAAAAAAAAAGAAAAAAAGAAAAGTGCACAAGCGTCGAATACAAAACCTTTGAATACGATAATGCATATCTAATCAATCAATGGTAACTAACCTGTGCCTTTCCAAGTAAGAATGTCCTTGCTTGATTCTGGTTCTCTGCAAAATAAAACATTAGAGAAACGAAAGAATAAAACAAACACAAATAAATATTAGCGAATATGCGAACGTTCAAAACGTGACAGGGTGACGCCGCAATGAATGATTTGCAACGACGCGCCAAATCGATACGCAGCTTGCTCCGGATACCTCCCATTTTCTGCTCCGGATACCTCCCACTTTCTGCTCCGGATACCTCCCACTTTCTGCTCCGGATACCTCCCATTTTCTGCTCCGGAGGCCTCCCATTTCTGCTCCGGGCCTCTCCGATTTTCTCCGGCGCGGCTCTTCCAAATCTGGCGGACTCGCGCCGGGGAAATTTCTCCGGCGCGAGTCCGCCAAATCTGGCAGAGTCGCGCCGGAGAAATGGCGTACCTTTGCAGCAGGGCCGGAGAAGCCTCCCACTTGCCTGCCAGTGATGTCACCGCGACGGACCGCCCATTTGCCCCTCTCTCATTGGTCAACTGGGTCCGGCGCTACTCTGGCAGATTCGGACTGTCCGGCGGAGGAGTCCGGTCGATTGTCTGAGTACAGCATTATCATTGCCGCTTTTCGAAAACTGCGTTTTGAACGCGTAATGCGCCGAAAGTGTCGCATTGTTTAATATCTTCCAGGTTACCCAATCGAGCTCTGGTTCAAATATTTGAAACCAGAACTGTCTGATGCACCTACGCTAAAAAGTTGCAGTAAAAAAAGTCTATTGAATTTCTATCGCTGAATATCGGATCCTGCGTAGGAGTACGCAGCTGTAGCGATATGCTCGTCTGCAATTTGCTTGCCTTGTTTGTCTTGCATATTCCTGATGAGGAGTCAGGATTTTAAAGCAGTGACGATGCACTAGCAGCGTTGATTCCGCAAACGCGTCCTCAGGTGAACCGCAGCTTTTTTAATTTGATCATCGTAATCGAATGTTTGTCTTATCCTTGAAGTGCAGAGTGAAAAGTTTTCTGGACGTGCTGTTAGAGCTGGTTGATTTTAGCAAAAAGAGCAAGCCAAACTTTTGCTGATCTTTTTACTTTTTCTATGCATTGCCCAACGACAGTAAGCTGCAAAATATGCAACGAATCACGAATCGGTAAGACAAGCTTTCGCTTGGGACTTCACTTTCCCATCATAAAGCGTTTTGTGGAATGAGTGGAATGAGTAGGAAGCAAGAAGTACAAATTTGTCAGCATATCAAATGTCAAACAATTTTCAGTTACAGAAGTAGTTTGTAATAGTTTCAGCGTTTGCGATAGAGTGAATGTTGATCAATTCTGAGCAAGCTCTCTAGAATCTATTTCTAGATTTTCCTGGACAATATTTTTGACGAGTATGTTGCGCAAAGTGTTCCCTGTCTTGACAGTGGTGCATGTATGTACTGCAGCCTTTTGTGATTGGTTTTGCTGTTCGAGAAGAGGTAATAATAGAGAAGAAGAAAATCTGATAGGGGTAGATAAAAGGTTAGCTGTGAAGGTAAGTTTGGATATCATGGATATTTGCTCTGAGTCCCAATCGCTTTTGCAGTGTGTGACAGCATGTCAGAGACATTCTTGTCCAAAGCAAAGCCAGTTACGGTGTTTCTTGGATGCCAAAGAGAAATGTTGCCAATGCATTATAGATTGCTTCAAGAGAGAGGGTTGAGGAGATCCATATCAGAAAAACTAACGATGTGATAGTCAGCAATGTGCTTTGAATGCTGTTTGCTATGTCATGAAAGGATTTTACTACACTGATGACAAAACAGTAATTACTCATCGTAATTAAATGCTTGATAGTTGAATGGTTATTGTTGTAAATGCTGGCTCATAGCTACCATAAAATTGACATAAATATTCTTGCGCAGATTTGATGTCGCTAAGTTCTCATGTTATAATGCTGTCTTGCAAAAAAAGAAGAAGAAAGAGCGCTTTACGATAAAGTTCAACCCCAACTTTTCTTTGGCTAGCTTTTGTTTGAGAAAACGAAGCTTCGAAAATGGCAGTCATTTTGATTTGTTTTTCAAAAATCATCAGTGTCGTTTTCAAATGCAACATGTTCGTAAAATATATGGTCGTTCCATAATTTCGTAACGTTTTTATAAACCAACAAAACCATCGATCTAAGGTCAAAATTAGTCAGTATCATACAATGTGTCCCAAAAAATGTGCTTACTGTTTGATTGTCAATAACTCTCACATGATGAAGTTCGAGAAGCTTTAGTTACCATTTTGTATAGCTGTTTCAACTTATTGGCCCGTAGTAAACCCCCCTTCAGGGGATCTGCCCTGAAAAGGACCTGAGTTGATCGCAACGCGCCTCGGTCCAGCGTGCAGTGAGCGATTGATCGGAAAATCCATACCCTACGATACAATCATGGATACGCTCCAAAGCCATAGAAGAGGAAACATAACTAAGGTCCACTAGCGTAGTGGTGAAGAGCTCGGCGTGGTATTGGCACGGTCGGAGGTTCAAGTCCGCTGCAGTGCGATTGCTTTTGCGATGGCTTCAAAGAATTTCTTCTTTTCTGGACATTGTAGTTCAGTGTCAGTGATCGACGTTTCTTTCCAAAATCCATAATTAGCGCCAAGGTGCGTTGCGCACCATCGTTTGATGTTTCTTCTCTCTTTTCCACACCCCTTATTTCATTTTTAAACGATGTTTTATAATCGTGTTATAATAGTGGATCTGTGTTACATCAGTAAGCATGTGAGTATGCTTACTGATATGATTGAAGCATGCACGCTTACGGCGCTCTGAAACTCCGAAATAGCCATCAGCAGGAGGTTGATGTCTAACCGAGATAGTAGAGCGGTGAAGAGGGCAGCCTGTCGTGCCATGCATACCAGGTTCGATTCCTGTCTGGCCCGAAACGTTTTGTCCTGTGTGCAAAGACTTCAGCTTTGTCTCTACTGTTAGCACTCACGTTATAAAAACGCGATCCAGTCTTTTCCCGTGATCATTGATTTCTAAACTTGAATGGAATCAACATCTGAGTATTTTTTTAGATGGCTTCGCTCTTCTTCAACGTCCGTCAGCAGCGGCAGAGGAACGTCCGTTATCAACGTGTCCATCCTTCCTCTGTGTTCCAGCAGAACGATCGCATTTTCTACTCGAAGTACAGGTTTCGTAGAGAAGATGTTAAGAAGATCGTAAGGATGCTCGAACCGCTGCTGCCGGATGCAGGGCTGGAGCCTTGGGAGATCAGTAGAGAGGACCAGGTAGGGGCATCTGTTCATGAAGGCCCACTATAATTACTCTGTTTTCGCTTCAGGTCCTCATCACACTCCGCTACCTGGCCACCAACAGTCATCAAACTGTTATAGCTGACTGTTTCGGGGTGTGTCAGAAGGCTGTGAGTAATGTCATCACCCGGGTAGTGGATGCTCTCAATCATCCAACAATAGAGGCCCGCTTCCTCCGCTTCTGGCCGTCGGACGAGTGCTGGTGGTTGCGAAGGTCTCGAGAATTCGCTAGAAACTCGAGATTCACAAGTAAGAACTTCACGAAATTCTTTAATACTTAAATAAAATGCTTTTTTTAGATGTCATTGGATGCGTCGATGGTTGCCTCATCCGAATCCAGCGCCCTATCAACTTCGGCAACCACTACTACTGCCGAAAGGCATGTTGCGCAGTCAATATGATTGCGGTAGTGGATGCCAGGGCCCGCTTCATGTACATCAACTGCGGATTCGCGGGCAGGCACCACGACTCATTCATATGGCAGCATTCGCAAGCAGCTGCCGAGTTCGACGAGGGTCGCGCTCGTCCAGGATATCGCCTCCTGGGCGATGCCGGCTTTGCCAACTCCAGGAGTGTGATGGCGCCCTTCCGAGAGCGGGCCACAGAGAATGACGTCAGGAAGAGGAGGTTTAATAGGGAGCACGCCAAAGCTCGACGAGTCGTCGAGCAGGCGTTCGGAGCGCTGAAGCGGCGTTTCTGCATACTGTACAACATCACCCGCATTCAGCCTCCCAAGCTGCAGAAAGTCGTGAAGGCCTGCGTCATTCTCTACAACATCGGTATCTACCTGGGAACGCACAGAGGACAGTCCTTGTCGCCCATACGCCGCGGTTGGATGACCCATCCCCCGGACAACGACCACGTCAGGGAATTTGTGGTTGAGAACTTGTAGAAGGTCACCGCCGCGAGATGATGAAGATGCACTGAAGTTCGTGACGTTGTTGTATACATACGCGCATGTATGCAGTTTGGTTGGCCTCCTCTGCAGCACGAGCCGTGGAGTGCGGGCGTGCATTGTGGGCAAGTGCGTCACATGCAACATGTTGTCACGCGCAACAATGTCTGCAACATGTTGCCACACGCAACATTGTCACATGCAACATGTTGCCACACGCAACATTGTCTGCAAAATGTTGCCACACGCAACATTGTCAGCAACATGTTGCCACGCGCAACCATGTGTGCAACATGTTGCCACCCCAACATTGTCACATGCAACATATTCCCATACGCAACATTGTCACGTGCAACATGTTGCCACACGCAACAATGTCACATGCAACATGTTGCCACGCGCAACACGTTGTCGTGTCGCGTCGTGCAACGTCACATGCATGTCGCGGCGTGCAACACGTACCAACATGCAACATATGACCATATTTTTGTAGCCATGGCCATACTTTCCTGTAACAAACTGTAACAAAGACCACCGCAATAACTCTCGATAGCTTCACCAACCACGTGGACAAAACTATGCCAGAACACCTTGGAAAGAATTTCTAAACGATAACACTGTAAAAAATATGTGTCCAACCTACCTGCTTTCCTCATCATTATCGAATTTCAGCAATACCAGGAACCAGCAATAGAGATCTCACGTATCTATTATCTGCTTCCATATGAGTAAGAAGGTGGCATCACTATACCACAAACTTACCAAAAATCTTTAGCAGCTGCGTCGGCATGATTATAACTGGGGACAATTAGTCATCATTTTCTGCTAAAGGACAACTGAACAAATCTCGTATTCAAAACCATCTCGATTATCATAGTGATTTCTGGAAATGCAGATTGAGCTGTACACTTGGGGACAGCAGTGTTCTCATAAGGGATCGGACAATATTACTGGCAACTGTTGTCAGGGTTGCCGAGTTTGCTGGGGTTACCTTAGGGAGTGCATGAAACGCGGAAACACTATGCGATCCTACAACGACAAGCAAACGCCGGCAACCTCGGCAACCCTGACAACAGTTGCCAGTAACATTGTCCGACCCCTAAGTTTTAAAAGTGCGACAACGCCGCACACATTAGCATCAACATCAAGACATCAGCGTCTTCAAGCTAAACTTTGGAGATAATAATGATTTAAAAAATATAAACCTTTCGAAAAAAAACACTCAATGAAAGTGCATTTCAATCAAAGTACGTAAGTCTGCAACCTTATTTGATGTCTGATCATCGCTTAGATCCCTTTTTGAAGAGGCAAAAGGCTCGTCCTTGAACATCTTTTGCTTTTTGTAGGCAGGAGCTCTAAAAATCGAACACTAGTGAAAACAAAGCAACTGCGCAGCGACATCATTACCTAGCAGGTACAATATTGTTGAAGCGGTCTTCCTTGGCCCTGTAGCTATCAAAGCTAGAAGAAATCTACCCGTATCTTGATGATGATGCGCATACTGAAAATCAAAAACATTGATAACAGCATAAAAAACATCTGCTAAGAAAAACCAAAATAAGATTATCAGAGATGATTCTGACAAGGCAATTATACCACTTACCATGGCATGTATCGACAATGTTGCATGGAACGCTACTCTGTTGACTCCTGAAAACCAGAAACTGACTTTTAATCACTGTATACGAGTTGCGTACCTCTGCTACCCTCCGAAACATGTTTAACAACATCACTGGGTTGTTCGAATAGGCCAGTTTGTCAATGACAAAAATATAACATCGCGAAATATGACAATATGACGTCTTAGACTCTTTCAATAGCATCAGACGAAAGAATGAAGAAAGTCCAACGAACAACGGAACAACAAACGGGCTAGTGACACAAGCAAATTGATATAGAGTAACGAGAACAATCGTGGCAAGTTCTGCCAGAGCAACAATAACAAACGCAAACGCACTTATAACAACGATTAGTGTAAACAAATGATACTTGTGATTTCTTACTGACTCGAAATCACTGATTCCTCTACATTTTCATCGCCAGTGATGGGTGCAGCCCTCCCTCCAGCGCTTTGCCTGCATGCTTCGACTCCCGGAATAGTTTGGCTCTTCTGTGATGCGATGAAGTCACACATGACGTGCAATGTGTGAATCATCTCGTTCAAAAACTTGCGCTGGTCCTAAATGTCGCATTTTGATTAACAACGCCATCGGTTAAACTCATGCTCACCTGGATCAACCTATACTGCTCTTGCAGTAAATCGGCTTCCGTTACTCTCAAACGATTCTTCATTTTGGCTCGTGCATCGCCTCCTCCACCACCTCCTCCACCTAGGTCTAGTTGCCTGTCCGTCCCGGCTCCATAATCTTCTTCTTCAAGGTCTGTATCGCTTTCAAAATCAACCTAAATAACTCGCTTGAAGTGTGAGTCATGACAATGCTGAGACTTACCATAAGCGGCTCCTCTTCGTGACCGCGGTTGCCTTCGCGAGCGGGGGAATTCCTCTGTAATCAATCCATGCAAATTGGGTTTGGGCTATAAAATCGCACACCTTTCCTACGTGGCTTTCGCCCTCGACAAATGGAGTAGTGACCGGGGTGTTTTCGAAAAAACTCCAGAGTTTTTCTTCTGCTGGCGTCTCAAAGAGGCAGGAATCGTTATTTCTAGAGAAACGAGTTTCTTCGGAAATGCTTAATCCACCCCCCGTCCTGGAGCGATATCTAAAGATTGTTGTTTTTGATCAGAAATGAACAAAAAGTTTTTTGAATTTCTCACTTTTTTTCGGCTGCGAATCCCTTTCTCAAAGTCATTCCCTTTGAGATCACTTTGGATCTCACGTGGTCGAAGTGATTTCTGATCTTACGTTCGCTCACATCGTATCCAAATTCATCGTGAATCTTCGTGATTAGGGTTCTGTATGCAGCCGTTCGTTTCGCATTTTGGGTGGGTGTGCGGACGTTTGTATCGCTCAACAATACGTCTGCATTGCTCACAAAATAGTCGACTATGTAGCGCGAGACGGAGTTCGGCATTTTGCCATAACTTTGCAAAATTGCTCATAAAAGTGGTATTAGCTTATTGAAGACGCTGCTCACAACAAGAGATAACAACGGCCCCCTCCCCGTTAATGACTAGTATGGATGTAAGGAATAATAATTGCAATAACACCCAGCAAAACATGGGATTACCTTTTAAAAAAGATGCATGCGCCATCGACGGGACTACTTCGTGTGTGAAAGACAACACTGAAATCAGCAGGCGTTGAGAACACATCAAACTCGAATTTAAGTGTGGCAACAATTCGCAAAACAGAGATGTCAAGTAGGCAGATAGACAAACCGATGAAATAGATGTAAGACAGGAGTGATATGTTGCTAGAAATGGCATGAGGAACGGGTTTCACTAGATAAACAAGTAATCAAGTAACAAGTAATCTTGTGATATGTACGAAACACGATCTGCGAAGAGGTTCAGATAAGTTGCGATTACAACACCGGCAGTCACACACTTTTTTGTCTCGGCGGCATCGTGTTAAAACCAAAATTGATTAAAAGGCTGTTATTTGAAATTCTTACGCGGATATTACGTTAGAGTGCAAAATGTGTGAAAATGCCCAGTGCAAGCGAAAGAAACGAATGAAAGAAAATTTGAGACTCCAAACGTGCACAAAATGTGTGCAGTTTCGCGCAGTCTAGTCTGCAATATTATGTAAGTGTCCCGTAAGTTACTCACGAGCAACTTACGGGACTTTTCTCTGCGTCTCGTCTATAGCACACTATTTCGGTGAACTCATCTCAAAATCGGGGCTGCTCTTAGGGATTTCAGGTGAATTCATCGCGGCACCTGCCCTGACGCGAACACTTCAGATCAGGTCGCATTCTCATAGCATGTGACAGTGGCCACTGATCAGTTCATCTCAATAAGCTCAACTCAGCCCCTCAGTTGAGATCATTTGAAATGAAGTGGGGTTTATTACGGGCCATTGTTAGATTTATAGTATAAAGCAAATTATTGATCGATTTTTTTACTATATGATTTACAATACAGAATTCTTCGTCGGCGTGACGAAGCTGCCAATTGAACAATTCAATAAATCCGAGAACTTATGTAATAGGCTTTTCATGGACTCCGAGACTGACATGGGATATCTTTTTAGAGAAACATTATAATGAGATGGAAATACTTACTTACTTAGATACTTAGATGGCCCGTCCTCACGTGACGTGCGGGCCCCAGTACAGAAGTTGCCATTGTTCCTTGTGACTCGCTTCAGACATCCACGATCTTCTTGGCTGACGTCGTGGCTGCGTCCACGAGGTCCAGGGGCAAAAGTTGTATCCAGCTGATTAATCAGCTGCTCCATCTATTCCACGAGCACGTCCGCCCATCACGCCGGTGGTCTTCTTCGAGGACGTTTGCTTCGCGAGGAATCCACTCAGATGCTTTTACTGTCCATCTGTCATCTGTTCTTCTCACTATGTGACCGGCCCATAGGTGTTTGGCTTTCACAGCGTATTCTGCTGGGTCACGAGACGGATTCCTCTTATATCCGTACTGCGAAGTCAGACTAGATGTTGTTTGCGTCGGATTATCTTCAAAAGAGTGCGCTCGAGCGCTCTTCGGTCCGTGAAGCTTTCGACGTGGCTACAGTGTCGGCCTAAGTCTCAGCTGCGTAACAGAGCGCCGAGAGAACGGTTGAGTCGAACAAGTGGGCACAAAGCTCCAGGTCCGTCAGTTGGTCGGTGGCTTCCTTCAGAGGCCCGAAGGCGGCCCAGGCTGCTCTTCTTCTCCCGTTAAGTTCTTTCCTCAGGTCGTACTCCATGTTCATCGAATTCCATTTCTGTATCTTCGCAAAGGGCGTTCCTCATGAACTGAGTCCTTTTCCGATTTATTCGCAATCCGATCTTCTTCCTTACTTCGTCCAGTTCCTTCAGCATCGTCTCTGCTTCACCGATAGTGGTCGGAAAGAGAACGATGTCGTCCGCAAAACGAAGGTT